ACTTGTTGGCGTCACAATGCATTCGCCGCTTGTGGGAGCAGCTGCATCCGCATCAGCTTTTAAATTACAACAATTGGCAGCGGCTGATGTGGGATTAGTACCAGCGCATACGCAATCTGATAGCCTTGGTTTGCAGCCCTTCATAATAGGTTACTTCAATGGTCCCGATTTGATGACGAAAATGAAAAAGAGTTCCACAAAACAACATAAACGTCGAGAGCGTCATGTTGACGCCTTTGGACATAAACCGCCGCCAGCATTGTCGCGTTTTACACATCCGGAGGCAATCTACGAGCAACCAAAAGCTTGTGAGCGCCGCAATTTTACATTGGATTTTAAATATTTGGGCATGGAGAAATCCGTTATTGCTCCAAAGACTTTCGAAGCTTACTTTTGCTTGGGTGAATGCAACTTCCCCTTGGGTACGCCCATGAATAATGCTACTAATCATGCAATTGTACAGACATTGATGCATCTGAAGCGACCAAATCTACCCAAACCATGTTGTGTGCCGATTAAGCTGGCCTCTATATCAATACTCTACTCCGTTAATGAGGATAGCGTAAATTTGATGCGTTTTTCGCAAATTGTCGCCAAGGAATGTGGATGCCGTTGAAGATGGGAAATATAAAATTATATTAATTTAAAATAATGTGGATGAAGNCCTTGCTTAAAAATATGTTCTAAAGATGAAGTTTAAGTATGTGCGTGTGTGCAAACATATAAAAATGAATTAACAACAATTTGCTTGGTCTGATTGTCCTTGGGGTAAGAATACTCAAAGTATAAATTGAAACAAGGTCCTAAACTTCGTAGAACTGCTAATATATACATAATTTGGAAAACTCAGGCAAAACAATTAAATAATTTAATTTCGTGACTTCTTCCGATATAAGATTGTTTTCATTTAAGTTCTGCAGTCTAGAAATCATGAGAAGATTATCAACATATCCAGAAAATTTCACTAGTTCTTCAAATCTAAAAGTATCAACCGTTTGTTGTTGTTGTTGTTGTAGCAGCATACAAATTCCCCAGACTTTTTGGGGAGTGTTGCTGGAGTGACAGTTCTTGGCCAGATATAAATCTGGGTCGTTCCGGTTACGTAGACCCGACTGTCGTGGGAACGGTATCAACCGTTTCATCATCAGCTGTGAACATATGTACATATACTGCCTTTCGAATATTCGAATTGTTTTAAGTTCTTGTAGGTTTATGAGTACCAAGAGTAAAATCATTCAATAACTATAACAATTTTATAGACCTAAGAATAAGAATTGCACTTTCAAATTGAACTAAGCTCAAAAAGGCACTAGCGCAGAAAAGTTTGTAACATAAAATACGAACTAGT